TTTAAAGGGGATTTAGGGAGTTTAAAGGGGGGGACATTAGCTTAATTCTTTCAGTTTCTTTTATATCTTCGATTCAAAACGGAATTCTACAAACATATTTATTTTTCCGGAATTTTCTTTTTTTTTCTTTTTTTTTGCTTTTACATTGGGGGTGCCCATGACATGGCCAGGACCATACACAGCCGGGCATTCCAGGGAGCTAGAGGCTGCACGGGCACCTGGACAGTTATCATAGAGTCAGAAATATTTTTTATTTCTTATTTTAATCTATTTGTTCGATTTTTACTTATTTTACGTTGTTTATTTATTAACTGTCGAGAATTTTTTGAAAAAAAAGCAGCAAAAGAGAAGGGACTTTACTGCCTTCATCCCCTGACTGCTTGTTAAGTGATCCTACTGCAATGACCTTGTCTGACAGAATATAATAACGGGTTATGCAACTACATATCACTCACGCATTTGTCCCCCGGTACTGTACACGTGTGTTCCTCCCTCTCTTCACGTGGACATGTGTCGGTCCCTCTCCCTCTCTCTGCTAAGTGCGTGCTGTTGTGTTGTATCATCTAACGTGAGTGCCTGTGTTCATGTCTTCAGCCACCAGCACCTCCAAGCCTCTTTCTGCTGAGACAGATTTCCCCTGCGCGCCAAAAAAGAATCGAACCGCCACGGAGGCATTTTCTTCTTCTTTTGGTTGGAACCGCCAGCCATTTTTGTCCAGTAGCACTGTTCATTCGAAGAGCCCGGGATGTCGCATCTTCAAATCTCAAGTTCACCTGGGCTAGGCACTGGTGGTTTAGGAAGAGATGGGGAATAGCTCAGGGGAGCATGTGGAATGGAGAGTGGCTCCGGGGAGCAGGCAGTCAGGGAGGGAGAAGAGGACAGGGGGTGGAAGAAAGGTGGGAGTGATATAGCAGGGGAAGGAGGGCAGGATAGGAAATATCGCTTAACTTTACTCATTGAAGCCGCAATCCAGAATAGGTGGCATCAATCAAACTTTGAAGAAAATGTTTACAATGGGGATCTTTTTTTTCACCTTCTTAAACCACCACTACCTTTCACAGGCAAACTCGAAACACAGATTTACTATAAACCACATCCTTCGGGTGAACAGTGGTACCGGACCAAAACGGCTGGCGCCACCAGTTAAAAAAAAAAAAAA